TTGGAAAAGTAACGCTCTGGTTTATAAAGTCAGCGTTGAGGAATCTTCACACCGGGGTGAGAGACTCCAGATAATTCCTGGTTTTAGGATAATCAGCATCCTTCAGCGGCAGATTAAAACGCCCACAACGGAAACCTGAACGGTAACATAAGTCTTCCCACAGTAGTGAGATGGTGAAATTCTACAGTTTACCCTAACCCTAACACCAACCAGTACAGTACTTAGATGTATATCTGTCCTTTTGTTTTGCAGTTTCTTTTTTAAACTCACTTGATAATTTTTATTCTATTTTTATTGCTGGTGAATTCCATGTTTGTGTGTCTTTTACTGGCATCCTATCGTTTTTGTGTATGTGCCGGCGTCGCCTTAAAGAGAATCTAGGCAGTTTTTCCTAGGGTCCATTTGTAGAAGCAAAAGCAAACCCTATCTCTTCGCTGTGCATTTGTCTTTTTCACACCTTAATCTTACAGCTGAAATGTCTCCTCAGCCTTCGTTAGTGTCTACAGGCGTGATTCATCACTAAAGAAAACAAATCAGCTGTGTTCATGATCTAAAACGTGTAGACAACGTGCAGGAATCAGACTGCAGGTCCAGGTATGTCAGTTCCGTTTATCCCAACAGAGTGATGGGGCCGGGTGGCCTTTCGTTAACCTTGTAAAGGGTCATTTTAGCACATACTGGCTCTAGAAAGTATCCGTTTAACGTATCAATTTCCATACTGCGGGAATGTCTCTTCATCCCACCAGTACTGTCAGAGGTTTATAACCGAGGGAACTCTGTAAAACGTTGTTAGGGTGACAAACATATTTTTTGTTTTTAAATGTTTAAAATTGTATCTATTGAAGAAACATGAACACAGTTTGTAGACATTTTAATTTTCCAGACTGAGTCACAAAAAGAATTCCAGAAATCTGATACTCTGCTGAAATTTGACATGTTTTTAAAAAAATTGCTCTTAATGTGAAAAGATTTAAAATACGCTAAATTGTATTGCTTTTGCTTTTTTTAAAAGGTTTATATTTGATTTGGTTTTGCCATTAAATGTTTGACAGCAAGGACAACATCTTAACATAATATATTTACAACTTTATTCACAATCAGGTCTCAGTCAAATCAAAATGTAGAAATCAAATGTTTTATTTATTTTTAATTGAGAATTACTTACGTAATTTGTCCTAATGGGTTGCTGTATTAAATCATTTTAGAACATTTTTGCAGCCTTGGAGAAAAAAAGATGCAGACAGGTAAGCGTGGGACCTGCCTGTTTTTCAGTATTTGCATTCTGCATGTGTGCATGTGTGTGTGTGTGTGTGTGTGTGTGTGTGTGTGTGTGTGTGTGTGTGTGTGTGTGTGTGTGTGTGCGCGCGCGTGTGTGTGTGTGTGTGTGTGTGTGTGTGTGTGTGTGTGTGTGTGTGTGTGTGTGTGTGTGTGTGTGTGTGTGTGTGTGAGAGAGAGAGAGAGAGAGAGAGAGAGAGAGAGAGAGAGAGAGAGAGAGAGAGAGAGAGAGATGCAACTTGTAACAATAACTTCCTAATTACAGTTCCCCAGTGTTTGTGCAATCTTCCTGAAATGCTAACTAGCCCCCTACAGGGACTGTGGTACATTATTAATCCATGTGCTTGCTTGAGCGTGTGTGTCCTGGGCTGGAAAGTGTGTGTGCGACACAAATGTATGTTTGCAGCTTTGTGCGCATCCTTTTTACCTTTTTGCGAGTGATGCGTTGACATGTGAGCTGCTGATGTATGTCAGTGGTTCATGTGGGGAACACTTCTGCTGTCACTGCTCGAGATAGTGGGTCACGCATCAAACATGCAAGCACTCAGAAGCCAATGAAAACACATTATATTTCCGAGACTTGCAAACAGATTACCTGGAAATAAATGAATTATGTCGTGTCTGCAACAACCAGATTCACTGACGTGACATTGATCATCCATTCATCTGTTTTTGGCCGCTTATCCAGGGTCGGGTCACGGGGGCATTAGCCTAAGCAGGGATGCCCAGACTTCCCTCTCCCCAGCCACTTGGGCCAGCTCTTCTAGGGGAATCCTAAGGCATTCCCTGGCCAGCCGTGAGACACAGTCCCTCCAGCGTGTCCTAGGTTTTCCTTTAGGTCTCTGTTGGACGTGTCCAGAAAACCTCACCAGGGAGGTGTCCAGGAGGCATCCTAACTAGATGCCTGATCCATCTCAACTGGCTCCTCTCACTGTGGAGGAGCAGCGGATCTACTCCGAGCCTTTCCCGGATGACTGAGTTTCTCACCTTATCTCTATGGGAGAGCCCAGACATTCTGCGGAGAACGGTTTCCAAAAAAGGATCTTGTTTGGTGCAAGTGACGAGCACTTCCTGTTCAGTAAGAAGCATAACACTTGCTTTGTCTCTAATTGCATATTTCACATTCATTTTGGGATGTTTATCTGTAATTCACTTACACTTATTATTACACAACCATTACATCAGAAAAATATATTTAACTTTTGAGAAATGATCAAATAACATTGTTTTTGTCTTGTCTTTGGTATTTTATTTTTGTTTCTTTTTTTTTAATTCCCATTTACTCAAATCCAGGATTGCCTCTGTGACATTCCAGCACATTTTCTAACGACAAGACAGATTTTGTTTTAAATAACAGAAGTGTTCATTTAAGCAGCAGGACTGGAGAATGCATCTCCAGACACAGCCAGCAGAGAGGTGCCATGCTAACTTTGTATGCAGTTTAATTTCCACACTGTGGGGGCATTTTCTCTCAGGAAAGATCAACATTACGACAAGAGATACAGATCACGCTCCAACACGCTTAATATGAGGAGTAGGACTCTGTTGAAACAGGGATGGCTAAGACAAATATCAGCTGATGGGAGTTCATTCTCAAATGTTATAAAGTGGCTGCAATAAGAGTTGGAAAGAACTGGAGTGCATGGATGAGAGAGAGAGGAGGGTTCTCCCATCATGCAGCGGTGCTCCTTTAGTATTCCTGAAGAACTTGCCCCACAGTGATGCCTCTAGGCACGAGGTTTGTGCTATAGATGGATAGCTTACACTTGGGGGCTTCAGAAAATGATAGATCAAAAACTTTTTTAAAAGCCCTTCAACACTTTTAGGTGAAGGTTGAGAGTGAAACTGGAGCACAGCGACAAGACAGCACCGACGTTAAGCCCATCACTTTTCATTGGTTTCCTATTTGCAGACATGTCGGCTATTCCTCTCCGCTAAAGTTGTCACTTTTCATTACAGCTGATTTTTAATGTTCCCACCTGGCTTCTTACAGATGTAACCATCAGAGACCCACTGCCGCTGACACTTCTGCGGCTGCAGCACAAAAAAGCTTTCACTGCGTTGCTGCTCGCTGAGAAATGCTTCATGGCTTTATCAAGTAAGACTTTTAGAGCTGGCAAATTGTAAGGTTTAAGAACCTCCGGTCGACCTCTTCTCGGTTTTCTTGTTTTGTTTTACTTTAAGTCCTATCAGGAGTGTTCCTCACAACTCATGCGCCTGCTGCAGCAAGCACTGCAGTACTAATGCAGGATGAAAGCAAGATGAGCAACCTCAAAGATTGTTATCAATGAATTCCCAGGACGTGGCTGTGACCGAGGATGTCTGGCCCCGAAACAAACCAGTCAATCATTTTTCACTCCCAAAAGCATAATGGCCTAAAATGAGTCATTGAAACTGTCGCGTTGGAACCACATCACGTCTACTCGTGGTGATAAGAGGGCAGCCCTGTTCTCCTCCTCTTTCTCCTTCATTCCTTGAATCTTTCTCTTTCCTTTCCTCCGTCTGTGGCACTCGGCCAACGTTGGAGTCAGTCAGTGGAAAAACTCTGTTAGTGGTCTGTGCCCTGTGGGACAAAGTGGCTACAACATCCGCTACAACAGATAGTGGGGCAGCCAAAATTTAACTGGCTGAGTGGCTTCGGTTCTCGCACATGCACACCAGCGAGGGTTTGGGCTGCTCGGTGGGGTTTCTGCATCTATCTCAGAGTTTTTGGAAAGTTTTGGGAAGAATTACAATCCACATAAAGAGCTTTTGTGAAACTCTACCACTCAGATGAGCACTATACTTCCAGTGTACTGCTTCCTTGTGTGATGTTCTCGTGTCTCCTTTCAGACGTTACATTTAGGTAAGACATAGAGAATCTGGAGGCCACCGTGAATCACTACTTTATTTTTATTCCCAATAAACCTTTCAGTGAGCGGGTTCGTCTCCTAATGATACATATTTATTAATTAGTCTCTCCCTCCATTCATTTGGCTTCACATTAAAGCATTTTATTTTCAGCATTTCATGGAGTAGTCATGAAAAACCAAACAATGAAAAGATTTAGTGATCTAGTCCTTTGCTCTGCGGGTAACACTGTAGAAAACTGCAACAAAGTGTGATGTAAGCTAGATTACCTTTTTTTGTTATTTTATCAGACTTTTCAGGAATCAAATAAGAACACTGTAGCAAAATGAGTCCGTGTGGACCACGGAGGAATTTCTCATCCAGGAGCTGTCCACGGTCCTGAATTCTCAGCCCGCTCAGCTGCAACACACCCGGCCGTCCCGGGACAAAACCCATAGCACACCAAGTGATGAGCTTATTTATTTTAGCACATGAACACATGTGAGATGCTCTCATATGTTCTGAAAAGGCTAGAGTCACATTTGCACACTGGGTTTGCACGTTCAGAACCAAAAGCAGCTGCTGTACACATTCAGCAGAAGCTAATCAGAAGAATCTGGATCTATTTGCACCCGCATCATGATCACTCTCCTGGAGACACAGCACGAGCTTCCAAATACACCCCCCACCCATTCATCACGACTGTGTACACACACCCTGACACACAAGATGGAATAAAGTAATCTGAAAACCGCAGGAATGCCAAAGCTGGTTTTGCATATTTCAAAGTTGCCTGCGCCATGCGAGTCTAGCCCTCACAGGGCAGCAATGTGAGACAAAGCCCACAAGCTTTCTAGGTGCAATCTACAGATGTTTGGTAGAAGATTAGACTTTACCTGCTCCAGATGCTCCAGATGACGCCGCTCCTTAACACAACGCTCCGCTCGTTGCCTCTGGCAGTACGTGTGTAATGCGTGGTATTATTGTAGTTCTCTTTTTCTTCCTTAGACTCTGTCTATCACAGATTTGTCCCAGCTTCCGCCTGTCTCCTCCATGCTTCCAGAGGAGAGCTGTGACCGGAGAAGATGTGGTGCTTTGACCCGCGTCAGGGTTTTTAGGATGCAAAACGGCGTCTGATGTGATGTTCTGCCTTCTCACCGCTGCCTCTCTCCTCTCAGTTTCTGCCTCTCACACTGCGTCAGGCTCCGCTTCCCCTCCTCCCCTTCCTTCTCTCCTCTCTCTCTCTCTCTCTCTCTCTCTCTCTCTCTCTCTCTCTCTATCGACTGTCTTCCCTCTCACACAGGAACAGACGGTGATTAATTCGCTGGAATTCAGTTTCTCTCTCCGCCTCTTTCTTTCTATAGCTGCACGCTTCAATCACCTCCACTCCGCCGCTTCTCCTCTGAGCTGAAGCGAACAACGGCCAGCTGTTCCGCTGGATGAGAGAGGCTTGCATGGCACTTGAAGCACCACACAGTCTGTGAGATGGTGCTTTTCCATGTGGAGTGTGAGATAGCCCTATCAAGCCCAATCTGGGGAAACTTTTTGACAAAAATGTGAGAAATCTAGTCAAGGAGAGTTCTCCGGGAGAGTGAAGCAGTCATGTAGCTGAGGAATAAGCTGCTGTGATTTGGGTATTTTTTTTTTTTTTTTTGGATGGGGTGTGTGATTGAAAGCCACATCTAAGTGTTTCTCTCCAGCTGCTGCTCGATGCAGAGCAACAGCAACCCACCAAACCAAGCAGGTCAATGTTATTTGAAGCTGGCTGTTTGCCTAAATGCTCCATAGGGCAACCTAATGTCCTGCCAGCAGACATGTTTAGATTAACTGCCTCTTTTGCAGACAAATGCACACGTGCACACACACGTACACACGTGCACACACACACACACACACACACACACACAATCAAGCAAGCACTTGGACAGTATTCAAACATGTCCAGTAAGGACTCAGGGCTGTATTTGAAACTTTGTATTACCAACTTGAAAAAAACGAATTTATTTAATTAAGATTACTATTCTTATTTGTGTTTAGTGCGGCTATTATTTTAAAATAAAGTTTACATAATGATTTCGTATGCTGTGACTATAAAACCGTTGATTCATTTGTTCCTGTTTAGGGTCATGGAGTTACACTGAGGCCCTGTCCACACGTAGCCGGGGATCTGCCAAAACGTAGATATCAGACAAAACCGGAATTTTAAGGTCTGCAACGTCACGTTCCGCGACGAAAAAATGCTGACATCACGTGTGCGACCTGTGTTTACTCTAGCCGGCATCATGGAAGCCCTCAGAGCTGCGCTCGCTTTATCAATTGTCCAAGCGCTTTCTGCTAGTTTGTTTTTGCAAGCGGAATTACTGCTCCTTGCGGAAGACCACAGACGAAGGACGAGGTTAAGAACGGGGGAAGTACTGCCGCCTACAGGTCTGGCATGTCCTTAACAACGTATTTCTCCAGGTACGTGTGGACGGAGTTTGTTTTTAAAACGCGGTGGTGTGGATGCAAGTTTTTGGAGGGGCGGATATTCGTTTTTTAAAAAACCCCGGCTACGTGTGGACTAGGCCTCAGTCACCGGTCCTTTTCAGAGCCAGTAAATGAAACGGACATCATTAATACACAATTTACTCAGATTTAGAGACTCGTTAAAGCCACTAAATAGTCAAACATGCATGTATTTAGTCTGCTGGAGAGAATCTGAATCAAAACAAAACAAAACGTATCTCCTTGCAACCCCAATAACCTTAATGTGCTGTTGAAACTCTATACGCTGATTCTCAGGTGAATCTATAATTGATATAAATTGGCATTTGGAAGTAATAGCTTCACTTACCAAATTGTATTCATTTTAAATAATTTTATTATTTACTCACATTTTATTCCTGAAAATTGAAGAATTTATGTAAAAGTGCTATATGAATAAAGTTTCCATTGCCTTAAACTGTTACGAGCTGAACAGACGTGGAGACCTGTGAAAACATCAAACACAGTAAGGCAATTTCTTCATTTTTGCTGGAGTCAGGGCTTGACTGTTATTACCCAGACTGTAGGAAGCAGGCAGAGGCTTGATCGGGACGAGGCAAGGGTCAGAGCCGTGGAGATCCAAGACAAAAGCAGGAGGGGTAATCCAGAGGCAGAGTCCGTGAAGCAGATCCGAGGTTAGGAGTCCAGAAGATCAGAAGCTATGAGATAGTCCAGTCAGGGAGCAGGCACGTGGGTAGGTCGAGGTTCAGAAGTGAGGTCAGGATCTTTGGTTCAGGCAAGGTTTAGAGTGCTGGAGAATCTACTGGCAAAAATGGTTCAATAATATAAATATGGGCTGCATGGTGGCGCAGTGGTTAGCACTGTTGCCTCACAGCACGAAGGTTGCAGGTTCGAAACTCGGCTGCAGCCTTTCTGCGTGGAGTTTTGTGTTCTTCCCATGCATGCGTGGGTTTCCTCCGGGTACTCCAGTTTCCCCCACAGATCACAACGTGCCCTATAGGTTATAAATTGTAAGTCGCTTTGGATAAAAGCGTCTGCTAAGTGAATAAACAAATATATATATATATATATATATATATATATATATATATATATATATATATATATATATATAATCCAAAAGGTGGCAGTAATACAACACTGACACGCATTTGGCAGCTAAAGTTTTGTTTCTGATTTTTAACAGACCACACTGTCACAGTGGAGTTGGTTGTACTGTTGCCTTGCAGCAAGAAGGGTAACCCTAACCCTGACCCTGACTCCCAGTGGGGAGCTTTTTGAAGTTTGCCTGTACTCTGGGTCCTCTAGCTTCTTCACACAGTGACAAGTGGGTGAAGAAAATAGATGGATGAATGAGTTAGGTGCAGTGGCGGTTCTACATGGAATTACTCCCCGGGCGAGGCCCCCTTTGAGCACCCCCACCCCCACCACCACCACACTACCCCACCTGCACGAACACACGCATGTTTTCTATAAACAGGCATGTGTAAAACATACCTGTTTGATGCTGAAAACATGATGTTTTATTAGAACGACTGTTGAAAATTCATTTTTCTAAGTTGCACATTCATTAATTACTATGAAGTTGTCCGAATGTAAAGCAATATACATTATGTGCTGTGTCAAAATGTATAGAATCAAATATACAAAAACAAACAATAACTAAATATTAAGAATATATGAACATAATGTATTAAAAATATTCTAAATAGCAAAAATATTTCACACATAACAAACTAAAGATAATCACTACAGTATTGCACTTAGAACAGAAAACACAAACTAAAATTAAAACCTAACCTTGATGCAAAGTCATCAATAATGTCATCATATGAAATCTGCTCCCCTACTGAGTGATTGATACTAATCAGAGCCAGGTTAGTGAGCCGCCCCTGAAACATAGGTGACCTCAGGTATGACTTGATCAAGTTTTGAAAAGCTCCTCTCAGCTTGAGCCACAGTGACTGGCAGAGCAGTCCAAAAGTTGGGGTAGATCTCCAACAGATCTTTATCATGACCCATAATATTTTAGAATTGCCTCTGAAATTGTAATTTAAACGGACATAAAAAAACTGTAGACTACCAAAAATGCCAACTTTTACAGAACAACTCAGGTAAAAAATAATCCGTGCAGCCATCTGCAATAAATAAACAGGATAGTTAGTGGTGACTGGGGAGTTTTCTTCTGCTTGTAGAGTTGTTTTATTTATTATTATGTGAACATGATCAACATGTGTTTGTTGTTGTTCAGGCAGGCCACAGGCTGCAGCGAGCATTTAACAAATCCTAGTTTGAATCAGTAAAAAACGATTCAAGGAATAATTTCGAACCATTTGAATATTCGTTTCAATATTTCAGCCCTATTCGCTCGGTCAGGACTAAACAATTTGACCTCGATGGGGGGGGGGCTGACCACAAAATCGTTTTGTTTTTCCTTTTTTTATTCGGCCATTTCACACAATTCAGAAAAACCTGAAAGAATGATAGGCCTGTGTTTATGATATTATGAATGAAATGTGCGTTAAATGGAAGAACATCAAGATGTGATTGACTTTAGCCATGTTAATACCAGGGGCGGATTAAGGACTGAAGAACATCCGGGGCTTAACACATGCACGCACGCGCACACGCACGCGCGCACACGCACGTGACATGCACTAGTCAACATCATAAATGTCTTGTACCACATAATTTTTAATCTGAAGCTACATATTAAGCATATTCAGGGCAGAGTATTGTTCCTGTTAGTGTTTAGTGTGAGATGATAGTAAATATTCCCTTTCTTTCTCCAACAACTTTACCTGATAGTAAGCTAACTTTAGGCAAACCAGCAGCACAACAAATATTTTCAAATAAGACTCACAAACCTGAGTCAGCACCAGTCTCATCAAAGCTGGGGTTCTGTCGTTGTACTTTTGGTCTAAAAAACGTCCTTATGTCCATCTTCACTCATGCGTTTCAGGCAGAGAGTGTAGAAGAAACCGGCTGCTGAAGGGCTTCTTCTTCAGTGGTGGAGGCTCAGGCAGGCTGTATACAAACTACTGCCAGCTGCTCCCTCTCTGTTGGACTTTGGTACTGCATGTTACTTCCGCAATTTAGATCCGGGGCTTCCTATGAAACATCCGGGGCTTCAGCCCAAGTAGCCGGGCCTAACGCCGCCCCTGGTTAATACAGTTGATTCAGCCCCTACCCGCTCATTTCATTTGGGAAAGACCCAGAGGTGAACTCCCCCGCTGCATCCCCCCCCCCCCCCCCCCCTTCTTCATACACACTATAGACATAAGATACACACACGTGAACGTTCTCAGTCAGCAGGAGCGCCTGCAGCTGCAGGGAGCACCAACTTGCTGTTTCCAATCCAGACACTGTCATATGACAGATAATAGAAAACCTCGGTGCGGCGCAGATTTCTTTCTTTTTTATTTTTTTTCACTCCGCGCTTGTGCGCCCCTTTTGTGTCATGAAAAAATGCCGCCCCGGGCAACTGCCCTGTCTGCCCGTGCCTAAAACCGCTACTGTTTAGGTGAATGTGGTGCAGATTTAAAGACCAAACAGCCCCATACATAAAATAAACAAGAGCAAGCTAATTTACTGGACTACACAGGCTAAATACATCAAAGAAACACAAGAGGTTGGAGGGCCCTATTACTTTACATTCCATTAGATTTAGACTGACTACTAAAAAAATCTCACCAGAATAAATGCAGAGATTGGCAAGCAAGCTCTCGGTCTATAAATTTATTATAAGTTGCATCATACAGTAGTAGCGTTAGTGGGAACTATATATAAACCCAGCATTCTAACGTTCCAGGGCTGTGATGGCTGTCTTGAGAGTGAACTGTATCCCAGTGACCCTTAAAATGCATGACTGACTGTTAGGAATCAGGAGCACAAGAAGCTGATGA